TCTATACCACAATCGGCAAACAAATAAAATGGAATAGAGGGATTTATCTATCGCTAAAAAATGTAAAATCTGTTCTAGTAGTTCTGGTAAATAAAAGATACTTGTATGTGCCATGCTCCGTGCCTTCGGCTAAATAATATATGCTGTATCTTTAATCAAAAAAATAAAATTAACGTGTTTACTGCTCTGGGCTAGTTGGATCGGACTGCCAGATATTCACAAAGTTCGGGATAATCAAACACACCTATGCACAGCGCCTTCGGCCAATCCTATCCTGTCTTTTATTTTTGACAGTGATAAGACCAGTTGCCCTATCATATGTGTGATTATATTTGGCCAGATTGCATGTGGCAAATATTGCATGGGGTTAGTAGTAAACTTACCAAAGGTCTTACGCCTGTTATTTCTTAATTTTTTAGCCATACATGATAATTTATCCGATTCAATTACTCTATTATTTGAGTCCGCTTGGCCTGTTTTGGCTGATAGAATTTGTCTTTCTTTTCTTTGGATATAACTATCTTCTTTATCATTTCTTCGGGTGAACTGAACTCAGATGATTCAGAGAATGATGTGGTCTCGAAGGGACCTGACATAGTATCATTTAGAAAATAGATTTTGATGTATTTTAGTTACATCACGTTCCAACGCTATAATTGACTCTTTGATCTCTTGAATAACATATATCTTTTCTTTTTCCGAATATGTGAAATATTTTTTAGAAGGCATTTTCTATGTTCGAAAAAAAATAACTGAATATTTATCGCATCAGAACAAAATCTATAATATTTATGTTAGCGCTGTAACTTGTCTTCCTGCTTGCATTTATAGGCTGTTACTAGTCTAGCTTATGGTGGTGGGCTAGATAAAAATGTTGCTCTTCTCTAAATAAAATTCCCAGGCATCCCTTATATCCCACCAAGGGACCGCATTTTCAGCTATCTTCTGTATATTATATTTAACTATTTCTTTTTCTTGTCCGTTGAGCATTCCATTGCAAAGCATATAGCTTTCGATCTTCACCTGTTTTTTAGCTGTCTCAATTTCCCTTTCAGTATAAGAATTCTCTATGTCTTGATGTAAATATCCTTGCATGAAATCATCATGAGGATATTTTCTCTCTACCTCTTCCTTTTCCAACTCCTTTTCTTGTTCCAATTTATAATATGCTAGCGCTTGTATCTTCCATCTTCTCCGAAACTCATGCTGGATTTCTTTATGCCAAGTGCTATTTATCCAGCAGAATTTATCAAGAGCCTCTAATGGGAGCTTTTTGACGATTTCAGCAATTGTATCTGCTTTTTCGAGCGGGTTGTATGAATGCATTGTATATCAAATGTATTGATTTACTTAACTAATGTTTTTTATTTCAATTGCTAAATTTTCACCTACATTATTTTCTAGACGAAAAAATAACTTTGTAAATATCTTTACCGGAAGACAGTTAGATTGACATTGCTCTGAGCATTTGTTCTATTTCATCATCCGATCTTTCACGATTCTCCTCTATAGCTATATGATAATAAAGCTTATATAATTCCTCTAAACTGCTATATAGATCATTATCTTCATACCTTTTGCGATAATTTTCTAGCCTTTCAGTATATGCTTCTTCCTTAAGGAACATCTTTACTGCAAGTGTCTTAATATAGTTGTTCAGATCCTTTTCAGCTCGCAGTTTCTTTAGATAGTCTCCATAATTTTTTGCAAGATTATCATATTTCCTGCCTTTTCGCAATGCAGTTTTTATGACTTTGATTTGCGCAAGTTCTATATCCTTATGATCGACCATTTTTGTATTGTTTCTACTATAACGATAGAAAAACTTTACTTAATAAAATTATATTCTTTAGTTATTAGTTTTTTTACCCCCGAAAAAATATTTGTTATAAAGCATCTATGCCTTAATATGAAGCTTAGCTTTCATAGCCCTTTCTTCTGCTTCCTCAGGAGATATTTCAGATGCTATCAGGCGTTTATATAGTCTGATTCGCCAATGTCCATAAGGGAGAGTTCGAATTCCATCAAGTAAGATCCAGCGCTTGTTGTCATATGGATTCAATCCTATTTTATTTACCCTCTTCAGATAAATTTGATGATCATAACTGCGGAGGCTGTACATATCATGACGGGTTAGTTTTTTGTTCCTAAGACATTCTAGGAACTTATCATGTCGAAGCTTCCTTTTGACCACGCATTTCTTTACACCCTTTGCCTTCTGGATGCCATGCTTTTTTTCCCATTTCTTTTCACCCTGTGACTTTCTATATTCTTCCTCTTCTAACTCTTTTTCGAAATTTGCATCCGTTTTAGGAGTTTTAGGATCATGACCTGCTGGAAGAACTGAATACATTTTTGGCTTTAAGCATACTGATTCGCTTATTGGATCCCCTTTTGTCTCATCCTTCATTAGAAACAAGTCTCCTGAATAGTTAAGATCGTAAATGTCTGGTCTTTCTGCTCGATCTTTATAGATATCCTCAGTTTCTATCTACATGATAAGTGAGTCTGTATCTGTATAAAGTAGACAGGCCTTTTCTTCATAGCGAAGCTTTATGTAACCATACTAAAAGTTGAACATCATAGCCTTGCTAATGTCGAGAATTGCCTGCCCTACATAGATTGGTTTGTTTAGAGTTACTGTACTTTTAACATATGGACTGCTGTAATTCCCCCTTCGAATGCTTTAAAGCCTACATATAATAGTGAACTTGCTAGGCGCCTGATTTTTTTATCCTCTTCTGTTCGGAGTAATTCTACTCTTATATGTTTACGAACATTTTCCATTTGTTTGCCAAAGACTGCATTGTTCTTTAGCTTATAATACATGACCCCAAACTCGTCTCCATTAGCTTTAGCAATTTTACGCTTGCGAATATTTTTCTCGATATAGTCTTTCATCCATGGAGACTGCTAAAATTTAAGAGCACCATGAATCTTTGTAACCTTCATCCTGAACTTCATATATGTCTGAAGAGCTCGATAGTGAACTACATAATTCTTCTTAGTAAAGAGGGTCTAGACTAGCTTCTCTCCAAATACATATTTTCCATTTCCAACTTCTTTATCTTTCACTAATCTTTCGTTATATAGACTAAGCCAGTTTTCTAGAACTATCTGCTTTTCAGGTGCTAACGGATAATCTGTAAAGAAATCGTGCAAGTGCACTGGGGCTTCTAGATCAACTTCTAATGTATAGCCTATTTCTGCATCTGGTGCTATGCTTTGGATATCTGGTATTTTCTCTGGTGCTACTTTACCTAAAATTTCTGTAGGCATGTATTGGGTCATTACACCTGAATATAAAGCATTTATATCCTCATACATGATCCAGGAATTCGGCTTGCTGGACTTATAGTCTGGACATTGTGGATTATTTGCTTTGGCGTATTGATGACTTGTCATTGTCATGCCTCTACGAATATCATTTTCTACCGTTAGATATTCATCCATATTTGTCATGAGTTTGAGTTCTGCCCCGCTACTTTTGTAAAGAGAATCATTAAACATTCCAGGTGCTGAAACATAATGAGAGGGATCTAAACCGTCATCTTTCAAGCACATGATAGTGTAGTTTATAAAAACATCCGCAAGTAAAAGTACATCTGTCTCAAGATAAAGATCATGATATTCTCCAAAGTTCTTCATCCCAAATATTTGCCATACCTTTTGAGCATGTTCATAATCCTCTTTACTAATATTTTGCTGACTAAGAAGTGAATAGAAGTCCTTTTTAGGTGGAAGGCTTGTTCTGTCGAATTTTTCTCATGCATTTGTCCAGTCATATGGAAAGATGCCCTTTCAAAAAAGAAGCTTAATTTTGTCTATTGAATAGCCTTTCTCAGTAAAATACTTAACAGTTAGAAGGAATTTTTTGATTTTTCCACTTAGGCATTCAACTAATTTATCTAGTCCCATTCCCATGTGCTGAAAGCTATCTAAGAATCAGAGTTGGTCAACATCCATGGCTTTGTATTTTCCAATATTCTCTAAAATGCATTTTAGCTTATCAGCCGTAAATTTACTCACAACTTTTATGAGTGGATGAGTCATAATTATGGCAAATAAGAGGTACTTTGGTTTCAAAAGAGCCTATTCGTAACTTTTTATTACAAGAGTCATGAGCTGGGCCTTGGTACTTTCTATTTATATGATCATGATCTTTTACTTTTCGATTAAGTGCACTTAAAGCTTCTCGGTATCTTTTCTGTACCTCTTTTTTTTTAGGATGTTCTTTTTCTATATGCGCTTCCCATTCTTTAATTTCTAGTAAATGGTGCCTTACTTCTTTGAATTTCTGTAATACTTCCGGTGATGGCTTAAGGAAAGGCTTCTTACATATCCAGCATTCTGTTGCTTCTTTGTATGCCTTAAGATCTCCTGAAGCCATGATTATTTCAGCTGATGCAGATAAATCTGCCTGGATGGCTATTAACTCCTCTTTAATTTGCAAAACAAACCTTTCTAGCATATCTGGACCCTATATAAATCATGACTTATGATTTTATATTTAAGTGAACTATCCATACGAACAACTACATAGCAATAGCTACACGGCTTATGCATCTGTAATCTTTCAGTATGGGTTAACTTCGTCATTTCTTCTGGGGTTAACTTTTCAGTTAACATTTCTAGATCCTAGAAAATGCGATATGGATTTGGTTGCATGCATTTATGATTATAGAAAGCTTTAACACTCCTATCCTTTACCGGCATTTGTGATCGCTGAGGAACATTATTTAAACCCTTAAATTTTGGCAAATGTTCATTATATCTTATTTCTGAAGAATATACATGAAGATAATAATAACAAATGTATTTTCTCCCTTTATGTTTACTATGATTGTATACCAGCTTATGTAAATCTTTGATAATACAGTAATGGCTTCTATCTTCCTCTGTAATTACTAGAAGATTTACTTACTTGTAATTATCCTCTCTTCTCTCTGAAATATAACGAAAGTCTAGACATTTATTTTGGTTATGCCATTCATAGACACATAGACTAATTTCATGGTTATTTTCTTTGAACTTTTTATAAACTGGTGTTGAGATTGGTATAGGAACTGGAATATCATCTATATTAAGTTCTTCTATAAATCCTTCATATAGCCAATGCGGATTTCTTTCAGGATGAATCTTAACTGGATGTAAAGCTCTTAAGACACACCATCCAAAACACCAGTCATCATTATTTTGAATATTAATAATTCCATTATTATGTTTCGGTAAAGTTTTTGGTAAAGGTATATAGGCTATAGGACCAATTGGATTAAAATCAGCTATCTCTATACTAAATTCTTCTATATATTCTGGATAAGCATCAGACATTTGGTATATCGTTAGCTCTTACTGTCACGTTATTACTTACTTATAAAATCTTTTCTTTAATTAATTATTTCCTATACATTTCAAAATGATCGGTGAATATTTGTGCCCATATCTTAGCAACTTCAGAAAGGCTTATGCGAGAACTTGTATTAAGCCCGAAGGGTGCCGGTTCTATTGGAAAGCTAAAAAATGGATACCATACTCTGATTGCAGAAAACCTACTACTTCTGCTTGTGGTCGGTATCCATCACATATCAAGGGGTACTATGTTGTCTAATACTATAATAGATTGCGGGCTAAAGCTTTAAACCAGGATCAGGGATATAACTAAGAAAAAGTTAGGACAAAAATTTTCGCTAGACGACGTAGAAACTGTTTCTGATATACATTTTTCGTATGATTTATTAATAGGGAATTGAAACAAAAATTTTTATTATATTTCCTAACCTCTGAGAGGCATTTAACATACTTTCTGATATATATTTTTCGTATGATTTATTTCATATAAATTTTTTTCGTATGACTTATTAGTCCAGAGCGAAGCGAAAGACTTTCATATACTAGTCACATGTTACACAAGGTATCTCATTGTCCGCCCGCTCACAGCTTGAGCTGATCGTGATTGATCGTACTGTTACATCCTGTTTAAATAAAGTAATTATCCTTGCACCATAAAACAAACAAAATAAATAAAAATAAAACA